AACTCACCAGACTAATAATACCCCACTCCTCCTGGACACACACACATCACACACATACACACACCCCAACACACTAACACACATACACTAACACACTCAAACACACACACTGACACACACAGACACACACACATTCTGACACACTAACACACACATGCACACTGACACACACATGCACACTGACACACACGCACACTCAAACACACACCCTGACACACACAGACACACACACACACTCAAACACAGATGTCCCCTGAACTCACCTGACTAATAATACCCCACTCCTCCTGGACACAACACACAAACACAACACACACACACAAACACACACACTAACACACACACACACACAAGCACACCCCCACTCAAACACCTGACACACATCACACACTGACACACATACACACACTTAAACACACAGACACACACATTCAGACACACACACATTGACACACACACACACACACACACACAGAGACACACACGCAGACATACACACACACACACACACAATGACACACACATTGACACACACAGACACACACACACACAGAGAGACACACACGCAGACATACACACACACACACACAATGACACACACATTGACACACACACACACAATGACACACACATTGACACACACAGACACACACACACACACACAGAGACACACACGCAGACACACACACACACACAATGACACACACAGAGACACACACACACACACAGAGACACACACGCAGACACACACACACACACAATGACACACAATGACACACACATTCAGACACACACACATTGACACATACACACACACACACACACAGACACACACACGCAGACATACACACACACACACACACACAATGACACACACATTGACACACACACACACAATGACACACACAATGACACACAAAGACACACACACACTGGGGCTGGGATCGTTAAGAAGTCGATACGATACAAACCTCGATTCAGTGAACTTACAATTCAACACATTTCAATAAAATAAAGTTTAATCTAAATCTAAAATTAAGTTTAATTTATCGTGTGTGTGAAACTAAAAGTCTTTGTTAAACTTCGTCTTGTGTAAAGTTCAAATAAAACACAAACATTTAAATCCTCATAAATATCAAATGTGTCGCACAAACGAGTTTCCTTCAAACAACAAAACTGAAACTGGAAATAAATAATTTAGTCAAATAAACCAAAAAATCCTCTTGGTGATTTATCGATACAACAGCACGATATCGATACTGAATTATCACATATGATATATCGATATTTTAATATTTTTGCACAGTCCTAACGCACACACCGAGAAACACACACACACACACATCTAAACATGGAATCAACATCACACTAATAATAATAATAATAATAATAATAATAATAATAATAATAATAATAATAGAGTTTTGTTGAGGGGCGTCTGTGGTTTTATTTTTAGATTTGACACTCTTGCTTTTTAAATGTTTTCATGAAGGTTTCATTGGTGATTAATTTCCACTTTTGCATTTTTTTTTTTTTTTTTTTTTTTTAATTATCATAAGTTTTAGTTTCTGCCTCCACCTGCTCCATGACTTAGGGTTTGATTTGATTCTTCTACAAACTGCAAACTGAGTATGTTTTATTTTATGAAATCAGATTGAAAATCATGTGTGTGACTGTAACAAGTTAAACATAAATAAAAACACACAAAACACCACTGCATCATAATTACATCTTATTTGTACCTCAATTGTACACGACAAATAAATAAATTAATACATTAATTATTATTATTAATAATAATAATAATAATAATAATAATAGTTTGAAGTGTGGTTTCATGGACAAATGTACACAATTTTTAATCCAAAATCGTCTCGTAGGTGAAGGTGTCGTTTTCTCCTCATCAGCTGAAATCTGCTTCAGGCTTCAGGTTTTTTTTCCTGTTTCCTCTCACATGTAATCACACTAAAAACAACCATCTCCTTTTGTTTGGAGGAAATAAAGAGCCGCTTCAGCACCGCGGACAGCTCCACTTTAACATCTCATCTCCTCCTCGCTCCACAATTACTCCACTTTTACTTTAAATCTGAGTCTAAAAAGTGGAAGTTTAAAGTTTGGGGCCATTTCAGCACCGCGGACAGCTCCTCAACAAAACTCTATGAAATAAAACTGTTTGTTTATTCATATTTTAAATCTGAACAGAAACCGCAGCAGTGCAAGCTCAAGTTTAATATGTATCAAATAAAACACCTGTTTTCTAATAAATGTGATTCAATTATTCTATAATTCTAGGACAAGAAGAGAAATTTGAATGTAGAATTTTGCACCACGGACGGTTCCACAAAAAACTCCAGTGTTTCATGAACATCGCCTCATTTCCTCATTTTCACTGGAACTTCAAAAAAAAAAAAAAAACGATGACAGAGGAGCAGAGGTTTCAGCACCGCGGACAGCTCCTCTCACAGAACAAACGACAGCGACAGTGAAACGGTACGACACCGTCCTGCGCATGTGCGGCTCTGTGAGGAGCAGTGCAGCGGCTCCAGGGGCCCCTCCTCAGAGGCCCCCACAGACCCCCGGACCCCCCCGGACCCCCCTTCCCCCCGGACCCCCGGACCTCCGGCCACTGGCAGCAGATGTGTCCTGTCCGAGCTGTGTGTGTGTGTTTGTGTGTGTGTGTGTGTGTGTGTGTGTGTGTGTGTGTGTTATGTGTGTGTTTGTTTGTGTGTGTGTCTGTGTGTGTTATGTGTGTGTGTGTGTGTGTGTGTTTTGTGTATTCTGATATTTATTGTTAAATTGTTAAATTGATTTTTTTCTGAATATTTCAGTTGTAAATTTCTTTGTTCTATTTTCGTTTTTTTATTAACAAGTTTCATTTTAATTATTAAAACACAAAAATGATTCTTGGATTAAAAAAACGATCGAGCCTCAAAACAATTAAATGTTCAGGTGGATTTTCCCTCGAGTCGAAGCTTCAGGTGATTTTCAGACATGACGTCACACGCGGTGATTAACGGACACCAACACCCACTTCACCCACCGCTGCCCGACCGGACGAACACCACCGACTGCACCGACTGTACAAACTACACCCACCGTACAAACTACACCCTCTCCAACCACTTCACCAACACCACCAACACACACGCGCTTCACCCACCGCTGCACCGACTACACCAACACCACCGACTACATCCACTGTATCAACTGTACCAACACCACCGACTTCACTGACTTCACTGACTGCACTTCAGACTCAGACTCAGACTCAGACTCAGACTCAGACTCAGACTCAGACCCAGACTCAGACTCAGACTCAGACTCAGACCCAGACTCAGGCTGGAGGAGCACGTGTCCTGCAGCTCCGTGACTTTAGTTCGATCAGTGACATGTGTTTAATACTTTTTAATATTTTTATATTTTTAGTATTTTTTTATTTGTAGTATTTTTGTATTTTAATATTCTTTTTTTTCACTTTAAATATTAAAATATTTTATTTTTTTATTTTTTTTGTATTTGTATATTTGATGTTTTCACACAAACTCTGGTGTCGGGAAGAAGTTTCATTAAACTCGTCTCGTGTTCTGGACTCGGCGGCCTCTGTGACGCGGGACGTTCTGCGTGGACGTGACTCCGGGTCACGTGACCTTTGGAGCAGCTGATCACCGTGAGGGCGCGTGGGAACTGAACAGGTGACACGGACACGCGCGGCGCATTCATCAGCGGCCATTCATGCACGCGCACAAAGCGAGGCTCCCCGCTGTGCGCGCGACCACCTCCACGACACGCGCGCGGCCCGTCAATAAACGTGAGAGAAAAGATTAAGAGCACGCGGGACCCGAGCCACGGGGAGCACGCGCGCGTTTGAAAAGTGGAGCTCGTGCCGCGGGCGGAGGGAGCGCGAGCTCTGGGCGTCACTTGACAGAGTGGGCCGAGCCTCGCGCGCACTCACAGTGGGCCGAGCCTCCGCGTGGATCTAACCCCACATCAGTTGGTGCGCGCGCCAGCGGACAGACGCACCGAGACGCGCGCGGAGGACGAGACTGTGCGGACACCGCGAGCACCGGGACACCGCGAGCACCGGGACACCGCGAGCACCGGGACACCGCGCACCCACCCGGGCACCCACGGACACAGCGCCGCGCGCAGAGGAGCCGCGCTCACGGTGAGTCTGAACCGCGCGATTAAAAACGGCTCTTCACCCCGAGACTCGAGTCCGCAGAAAAATCCACAAAAAACAAACAAAAAATCCACAAAAATCCACAGGAACGAACCTCGCGTGAAAAACGGAGAAAAAGAGACAGTTTTATTGTGAATATTTAAGTTTGATGAGAACAGATTCTCTTTATAACTTATTTATTGTATAAATATATTTAATTTATTGTAAAAAACTATATATATATATATATATATTGTATTTATTGTGTATATATATTTTATTTAATGCATAAATCTCGGGCTTTATTGTCACACTTTCATTATTATTTCATTATATTATTTTATTTTATTTTATTATTTAGATTTTATTATTATTGGACATTTTGCAAAAGGCCAAACATTTTTTTTTCGTTAAATATATTTCATAATATTAGTGAGAGTTTGTTTGATTCTAAATTTCATTTAATATAAAATATTGTTGTGTTTTGTTTTGTTTTTTTATTTAAAGGCTAAAATTATGTTTTTCTAATTTGGACATTGGAGCTTGTCATTTTATTAAACAAAATTAATTAGAATTTTTTTTATTATTTGTCTGAGCCGCGTCCACCAGAATATTAACCCATAATAAATGTTCTAGAATCTTCTCCATTATAAATGTTCTCCATGTTCTCCCCTGTGCCGCAGCTCGGCTCTCCGGGTCTCGGCTCTCGACTCTCCGGGTCTCGGCTCTCGGCTCTCGGCTCTCTGGGTCTCGGCTCTCCGGGTCTCGGCTCTCCGGGTCTCGGCTCTCCGGGTCTTGGGCCTCGGGTCTCCGGGTCTCCGGGTCTCGGGCCTCGGGTCAGGATGGAGTCCATGGTTCGGGACGGAGACTCCGGCTCCAAAGACGCGTCTTTCTCCGGGTCCCTGAAGCCGAACCAGGTCGGGGAGACGATTCTTTACGGTGTCCCCATCGTGTCTCTGGTCATCGACGCGCAGGAGCGTCTCTGTTTGGCGCAGATTTCCAACACGCTGCTCAAAAACTACAGCTACAACGAAATCCACAACCGGCGCGTGGCGCTGGGCATCACGTGCGTGCAGTGCACCCCGGTGCAGCTGGAGATCCTGCGGCGCGCGGGGGCCATGCCCATCTCCTCCCGCCGCTGCGGGATGATCACGAAGCGCGAGGCCGAGCGCCTGTGTAAGTCTTTCCTGGGCGCGCACTCGCCCCCCAAACTCCCGGAGAACTTCGCGTTCGACGTGTCCCACGAGTGCGCGTGGGGCAGCCGCGGCAGCTTCATCCCCGCGCGTTACAACAGCTCCAGAGCCAAATGCATCAAGTGCTGCTACTGCAACATGTACTTCTCCCCCAACAAGTTCATCTTCCACTCGCACCGCACGCCCGACGCCAAGTACACGCAGCCCGACGCCGCCAACTTCAACTCGTGGCGCAGACACCTGAAGCTCACGGACAAGAACTCCCCCACGGACGTGGCGCACGCGTGGGAGGACGTGAAGGCCATGTTTAACGGCGGCAGCAGGAAGAGGACGCTCCCGTCCGGCTGCTCCGAGGCGCCGCTGAAGCCGCACAGCGGGGTGCCGCGGGGCTCCCCGGACATCCCCGCCAAGATCCTCAACTGCGACGAGACCCGCGTGGGCTCAAGCGCGCGGAGTTACCCCGTGATCCCCGTGCCCAGTAAAAGCTTCGGGATGTTACAGAAGCTCCCCCCGCCGCTCTTCCCCGCGCCCTACGGCTTCCCCACGTTCGGCCTTTGCCCCAAGAAGGACGAGGCCCTGGAGCGGCCCGCGCTGCCCGGGGTCCTGTGGCACGGCGCGTCCAAGGACACGTACCCGCCCTTCCCCGTCTTCTGGCCCCTGCCCCCCTACCCCCCGCCCCACGGACACCCCCCCAGGCACGTGGACGCGGACGTGGACGTGGAGCACTGCGGGGACCGCGGCGCGGACGCGTCCAAGGACGGCGCGCTCGTGGACGCGGACCGCTGCTCGAGCACGCAGTCTCTGCGCACGGAGGACGACAAGTCCGGGGACGAGTCCAGGCCCACGGAGGGCCCCGTGACCCCCGTGACCCCGCTCGCGCCCAGGAAACTCAGCTACGTGTCCGCGTTCCGGCCCGTGATCAAAGACACGGACTGCATCGCGCGGCTGTACGGGCCGCGGGGCGCGTGCAGGCCCGGGTACCTGTCCCCGGACTTTCTGAGCGAGAGCTCGAGCTTCAGGTCCGCGTCCCCGTGCGTGGAAAGTGAGGGGGACGCGGACGTGGACGTAGAGACGCACAAAGGAGCGGAGCACGAGGAACCCGCGCTCGTGCCGTCCGCGTGTCCTAACGCGTGCGCGGGTCCGCGCGCCCCCGAACACAAGCACGAGCTCATCCCGCACGAGGCCGCGGGGACAGAGGCCCACGCGAAACACTTCCCCACGGAGAGTCACGTGAGCGCGCCGGCCTTCGCGGAGGTAGGGCATCCGGACCAAACTCTCTTTACACTTTAGGCGCGTGACACACGCAAACTCTGAGGAGTCTTTGTCCCGCAGGTTTACCCCGCGGACCGAGACCGGGACCGGGACCGAGACCGAGACCGAGACCGAGACCGAGCAGAGCCGCAGCAGAGAAGCCCGTACCCCGCGAAACACTACGGCCCCCCGCTGCTCCCGAGCGCGCACGGTCAGAACGCACGAGTCTAATATATTATTATTATTATTATTATTATTATTATTATTATTATTATTATTATTATTCATGTGCTCATCCGGGTTTTTTTCTTAAATCCTCTCTGTTCTTCTCTGTCTCTCTGTGTGTCTGTTCCTCTGTGTTGTTCTGTGTTCCTCTGTGTTCCTCTGTGTGTTCCTCTGTGTTTCCTCTGTGTTCCTCTGTGTTCCTCCTCTGTGTGTGTCCTCTGTGTGTGTCCTCTGTGTGTCCTGTGTGTTCCTCTGTGTTGTGTGTTCCTCTGTGTGTTCTTCTGTGTGTTCCTGTGTGTTCTGCTGCAGATGATTCCGTGAGTAAAGAGGAACCTTCTTCCACGGTGGAGGAGATCGAGACCAAATATTTCCACGAGCACGAGCACGAACACAGTGGGGACGAGACGCAGCGAGAGCACGATGAAGGTGAGGAGCGACGCCGCGGCGAGAGCGCGTGAAACACACGCAAAGATCTGACAGAAATATACACATTTACACACATGTACACACATGTACACACACATGTACACACGTTTACACACACATGTACACACATGTACACACATGTACACACATGTACACACATGTACACACATTACACACATGTACACACATGTACACACATGTACACACATGTACACACATGTTACACACATTTACACACATGTACACACATGTACACACATGTACACACATGTACACACATGTACACACATGTACACACATGTACACACATGTACACACATGTACACACAGGTACACAGTACACACATTATTTGTGTAGCACAATTCGTACACAAAGTAATTCAAAGTGTTTTACAGAATAAGAAATACATTAAAATCATAATAAAAACAAATCAAAACATAAATAATCATGAAGATTAAAATGAAAAAAGAGAGACATAAATTGGAGAGAAGAGTGCGGAATGAAAACCTTTCAGTTATTTGCACAGTTAAACAGAAATGTTTAGAGTCTGGATTTAAACAGCGTCACAGAAGAGTCTGTCTCACATGTTCAGACTGTTCCAGGTTTTAGCTGCATGAACCTGAAACTCTGACTCCCCTTGTTTAGTTCGTGACTCTGGCACCAGCAGGAGGTCGTCCCTGAGCTCCTCAGAGTGTGAGATGTTCATATGACACTAACATGTCACAGATGGACTTTGGTGCTCGGCCATGGAGACACTTGTACACAAGCAGAGCTGCTTTAAAGTCTATTCTCTGAGGCACAGGAAGCCAGAGCAGAGACCTGAGCACAGGACTTATGTGCTCGTACTTCCTAGTTCGAGTCAGGACCCGAGCTGCAGCGTTCTGGATGTTCTGGATGTTCTGGATGTTCTGGATGTTCTGCAGCGTCTCACAGTTCGTTTGGAGAGGCCAGTGAGCAGAACATTACAGTATCTAACCTACTGGAGACAAACACATGGATAAGTTTCTCCAAGTCTGATTTAGACAGTAAACCTTTGATTTTTGCTATGTTTTTTAGATGGTAAAAGGCTGCAGATGTTATTGATTTGATGTGACTGTTAAAGTTCAAGTCTGAGTCCATTATTACCCCTAGATTTCTTGCCTGATTTGAAGGTTTTAGAGAGAGAGACTGGAGGTGATGCTGACACTGTCCCTTTGTTTCTGTGGACCAAACACTATGACTTCAGTCTTGTCAGAGTTTAGCTGGAGAAAGTTGTTTTGCATCCACACACTGATCTGTTGGATGCAGTGACCAAGTGACTCCACTGGTCCATAGTCTCCTGCTGCCAGAGAGACGTAGATCTGAGTGTCGTCTGCATAATTGTGGTACGACACGTTATTGCTGCTTATTAACTACGTACACTATGTACACACATTTACACACACATGTACACACATTTACACACATGTACACACACATTTACACACACTACACACATTTACACACATTTACATACACGACACACACTGACACACATTTACATACATGTCTGACAGCCGTGCGTGTGTGTGTGTGTATGTGTGTGTGTGTGTGTGTGTGTGTATGTGTCTGTGTGCGTGTGTGTGTGCTGTGTGTGTGTGTGTGTGTGTGTGTGTGTGTGTGTGTGTATGTGTCTGTGTGTGTGTGTGTGTGTGTGTGTGTGTATGTGTCTGTGTGTGTGTGTGTGTGTGTGTGTGTGTATGTGTGTGTGTGTGTGTGTGTGTGTGTGTGTATGTGTCTGTGTGCGTGGAGCAGAGCAGCGGGACGGTCGCGCGGCGCAGCGGGACCTCCAGAGTCTGGCTAAAGGTAAGATGGTGTGTAAAACTTTTACAAACTTCATCAGAGACTCGAGTTTATCTGAAGCTGAAGTGAAACTGAAGAGTTTGTGTTTGTGCTTCAGAGGAGCTTCAGAAGCAGCTGCTGGAGCAGGTGGAACTGAGGAAGAAACTGGAACGAGAATTTCAGAATCTGAAAGGTGCAAATCTGCCAAAAACACAACAACACACAAAAACACACACAAAAACACAACAACACACAACACACAACATACATGAGAACACACACAACACAAGAACAAACCTGATACAAGGGGATATTATTATTATTATTATTATCATCATTATTATTATTATTATTATTATTATTTTCACATTATTAATGTTTCTTCATGAGTCAGATATTTAGACTTAGACAAACTTCATCACAATAAAAATAAAATAATAAAGAGTAAAAATATAAATGTGATCATAAATTCTAAACAAGAAGCAAAAAAGAGACACAAGTGAAAAAAAAAAAAATATATATATATATATATATATATATATATATATATATATATATATATATATATATATATATATATATATATATATATATATATATATATATTAAAGGTAAATGTACAAGTCAAAATAAAATAGAAAAATAAGAAATAAAATATAAAATCTCAGCTTTATACAAGAAGACACAGGAAAACATGGGGTTATCTGTAGGGAGTATTATCTGTTCCATAAGGGTGAGTTGTACAGTTGTAGGGAGTATTATCTGTTCCATAAGGGTGAGTTGTACAGTTGTAGGGAGTATTATTTGTTTCGGTAACACTTTAAAATAACTACACCTTACTTAGCCTTAAGCATGAACAAAGACTTAATTAATCATGAACAAAGATTTAATTAATATTATTTCACGCTTAGTAAATGCTTAAAAAAGGATAATTAGTCTTCACTTTAGAAAAGCTCTCAAAAAGACTTAACAGATAACAGCTGCCTGAATGATCATTACATTGTATTATTAGTAAATCATTCTCTCATAGTTTACTAATGATTAATAAATGCTCAAATGTTTAGTTCATGAGTAATTAAGTATGAAATAATTATGAGTAACTATTTACAGCACAGGCAAATTAAGTGCAAGTGCTAATTAAGGTAGTAATTAAGTAGTTACTAAGCGTGAATCATTATTAATTAAGTCTTTGTTCATTATTAATTAAGCCTTTGTTCATGCTTTATTAAGGCTAAATACGGTGTAGTTATTATAAAGTGTTAGCTTTGTTTCATAAGGGTGAGTTGTTGTACAGTTGTAGGGAGTATTATCTGTATATATTGATGTTTATTGTATTATTTCTCGTTTGCATGAGCGAGTCAGACTGTGTGTAAACCTGAAGCTGCAGTGAAAAAAAACACTTTTACTTTCACTTTCACTTTGACAGGGTGAGTTGTTGTGTCCTCGTGCCACAGACTCAGGTTGTTAAAGTGACATGTGTGAACAGCGCCACCTCCTGGCTCATTATTAACACTGTTTTATTATGCCCCATCAGGGCGGCTGTGGCTACAGGAGTTATTTAACACCACAGAGTGTGAAATAAAAACAGTGTAGAACTCTGACAGGGTTTGTTTAGTGCAGCACAAGAGTGCGGCTTTAGAAGAAACTGTATAATAATAATAATAATAATAATAATAATAATAATAATAATAATATTTAAAAGTCACAAACTAAATAATAATAATTTATTATATTTTGATTTTGATAAGTGAGACACTGGTGGGAGTTAATCGCTGTTGTGTGTGTCATGTGTCGTGTGTCGTGTGACGTGTGTGTGTGTGTGTGTGTGTCGTGTGTCGTGTGTCGTGTGTCGTGTGTCGTGTGTCGTGTGTCGTGTGGTGTGTGTCGTGTGTCGTGTGACGTGTGACGTGTGTCGTGTGTCACGTGTGGTGTGTATTGTGTGTCGTGTGACGTGTGTCGTGTGTCACGTGACGTGTGTCGTGCAGATAACTTCCAGGACCAGATGAAGAGGGAGCTGTCGTATCGAGAGGAGATGGTGCAACAACTGCACATCGTCAGAGGTGAGACATGAACACACTGAACACACACTGAACACACACTCAACACACACTCAACACACACTCAACACACACTAACACACACTCACACACACTGAACACACACTCAACACACACTCACACACACTCACACACACAACACACACACGAACACACACACTCAACACACACTGAACACACACTCAAACACACACAACACACACTCAACACACACACCAACACACACTCAACACACACAACACATGAACACACACTCAACACACACCGAACACACACTCACACACTCAAACACACACTCAACACACACCGAACACACACTCAACACACACTCAACACACACTGAACACACACACACACACCGAACACACACTCAACACACACGAACACACACTCAACACACACTCAACACACACACACGAACACACACTCAACACACACACACACTCAACACACACACACACATCAACACACACTCAACGAACACACACTGACACACACACTGAACACACACTCAACACACACTGAACACACACTCGAACACACACTCAACACACACACACACACACACACACACACACAACACACACTCAACACACACACACTCAACACACACTCAACACACACTGAACACACACTGAACACACACCGAACACACACTCAACACACACTGAACACACACTCACACACAAACACACACCGAACACACACTCAACACACACTCAACACACACACACACGAACACACACACACACACACACACACACACACACTCAACACACACTCAACACACACACACTGAACACACACACTCAACACACACTGAACACACACCGAACACACACTCAACACACACTCAACACACACCGAACACACACACAACACACACTCAACACACACTCAACACACACACACACACTCAACACACACTCAACACACACTGAACACACACACCACACACACACACTGAACACACACACACAACACACACACTCAACACACAACACACTCAACACACACTCAACACACACAACACGAACACACACTCAACACACTCAACACACACTGAACACACACTCAACACACACAACACACACTCAACACACACTCAACACACACTGAACACACACTCAACACACACTCAACACGAACACACACACACACTCAACACACACAAACACTCAACACACACGAACACACACAACACACACATCAACACACACTGAACACACACACTGAACACACACTCGAACACACACCACACACTCAACACACACCGAACACACACTCAACACACACTCAACACACACTGAACACACACACACATCAACACACACAACACACACTCAACACACACTGAACACACACTCAACACACACTCAACGAACACACACACACACAACACACACTCAACACACACTCAACACACACACACACACACACACGAACACACACACACACACACACTGAACACACACTGAACAACACACTCAACACACAACACACACTCAACACACACTCAACACACACACTCAACACACACTCAAACACACACACACACACACACACTGAAACACACACTCAAACACACACCAACACACCACACACTCAACACACACTGAACACACACTCAACACACACTCAACACACACCGAAGACACACTCAACACACACTCAACACACACCGAACACACTCAACACACACTCAACACACCGAACACACACACACCGAACACACACTCAACACACACTCAACACACCGAACACACACACCGAACACACACTCAACACACACTCAACACACACTGTACACACACTCAACACACACTCAACACACCACACACACACCGAACACACACTCAACACACACTCAACACACACTGAACACACACTCAACACACACTCAACACACCGAACACACACTCAACACACACTGAACACAAACTGAACACACACTCAACACACACTCAACATACACTCAACACACACTCAACACACTCAACACACACTCAACACACACACAAACACACACTGAACACACACTCAACACACACTCAACACACAACACACTCAACACACACTAAACACACACTGAACACACACCGAACACACACTCAACACACACTGAACACACACAACTCAACATACACTCAACACACACTGAACACACAACTCACACACAACAACACACACCAAACACACGCTCAACGCACACTCAACACACACTCAACACACACTCAACACACACCAAACACACACTCAACACACACTGAACACACACTCAACGCACACTCAACATACACTCAACACACACTGAACACACACCGAACACATACTCAACACACACTCAACACACACAACACACACACACAACACACACTCAACACACACTCAACACACACTGAACACACACTCAACACACACTGAACACACACTCAACGCACACTCAACATACACTCAACACACACTGAACACACACTGAACACACACCAACACACACCGAACACATACTCAACACACACTCAACACACACTGAACACACACTCAACACACACTCAACATACACTCAACACACACTCAACACACTCAACACACACTCAACACACACTAAACACACACTGAACACACACTCAACACACTCAACACAAACTCAACACACACTAAACACACACTGAACACACACCGAACACACACTCAACACACACTGAACACACATTCAACGCACACTCAACATACACTCAACACACACAACACACACTCAACACACACTCAACACACACTCAACACACACACAACACACACAACACACAAACACACACTCAACACACACTGAACACACACTCAACGCACACTCAACACACACTCAACACACACTGAACACACACTGAACACACACCGAACACACACCGAACACATACTCAACACACACTCAACACACCGAACACACACTCAACACACACTGAACACAAATTGAACACACACTCAACACACCGAACACACACTCAACACACACTGAACACAAATTGAACACACACTCAACACACACTCAACACAAACTGAACACACACTCAACACACACTCAACATACACTCAACACACACTGAACACACACTCAACACACACCGAACACACACTGAACACACACCAAACACACACTCAACACACTCAACACACACTCAACACACACTAAACACACACTGAACACATACCGAACACACACTGAACATACACTCAACACACACTCAACACACTCAACACACACTCAACATACACTCAACACACACTCAACACACTCAACACACACTCAACACACACTCAACACACACTGAACACACACAACACACACACAACACACACTCAAACACACTCAACACACACTCAACACACACACACTCAACACACACTCAACACACACACTCAACACACACTCAACACACACACACACACACACTCAACACACACTCAACACACACAACACACACTCAACACACACAACACACACACACAACACACACTCAACGCACACTCAACACACACTCAACACACACAACACACACACTCAACACACTCAACACACACAACACACACTCAACACACTGAACACACTGTACTAGGCCCAAACACACTTTAATATTTATGTTCTTAGGTTCTTTTTTCAGACCAGAGTTTGTTTTCATTTTCGTCCTGACAGTTTGTTCTTCCTCTTCGTCTTCGTCTTCCTCAGACTCTGATGATGATGATGATGTTTCTGTGTCGTGTGGCTCAGTTGATGTAAACAGGTTTTGTCTGTGTCTTCGTCTCGGTGGAGGCAGGACAACAGCGCCACCTGCAGTCCACAGACGTCTGCAGAAAAACTCTTGGTCTGAAAAAAGAATCTAATAAGATAAATTATGATCAGACCAACTGAACCTCACTGGACCAGACTAAATATTTAACGTGTGTTCAGTTCTAAACTGTCTCAAACTGCAAAAACTCAAATCTAGCCGAGTTCACATGACTAGAATCAAGAAAGTTTTATCATGATCTGAGTAAATTTCACTTCACAAGTGCAATCATCTACCAATGGAACAGGACTTTTGTAGTTAAAATATAAAACTACATCTCGCAGCATTTAAGAAAAACACGACTCTGCATTTAGAATAAGAAAGAAATTAAATCGACTGGTCCTTGAATTAAGAAAAACATTACACATTTATTCCACTGGGAGATCATTTTACTTGTCAAGTTGAATCAACTCAAATCAAGTCAAATGTTCTTAATTTAAGTCATTTTAACTTGGCCTGATGTTGTTTTTGTGCAGTGGAGCTGGACATTCACAAAAGCAGGAAAAAAACAGGAACATCTTGAGCTGCAGATGCACCACAGCTCACCTCATGTTTGTGTTCAGTGTTGGATTTGTGAATGAATCTGGTTTGTTTTTCTGTTGTATTCATAAAAGGAGCGGATCCTGAAGAGGCAGAACAATTTCCACAGAGTTTGATTTGGCTCCTAAACCCAGACGTGCTGAACGTTCTCCTGTAGACCTTCAGCAGCAGCTCTGTTTCCATCATGTCCCAGGTTCATGTGTTCATTATTAACTGCCTCTGTTTGCCTCAGAAGCTCACGACGCGTTGCATCACTTCTCGTGTAAGATGTTGACCCCTCGGCACTGCGCCGGCTCCTGCACCTTCAAGTCTCCTCTGATGCCTCCATGACGCTCGAGCCCCGGAACAGCAGAACCCTGAGAAACCCCGGAACAGCAGAACCCTGAGAAACCTCGGAACAGTAGAACCCTGAGAAACCCTGAAACCCCCGAGAGACTGAAACAGGCCTATTTCCTGTGACATTTGTACACACGATTCTTCACTTCTGTGTTTTTTCTTTCTGTTTGAATAGACTAAATTATCATCATATGTATTATTTGTGGCAAAGTGCAATGACATATTCAGATGTTCGGTGTAAAGGCCGTGTGTCGGCCTCTGTGAGTCTGGTGTTTGGATTTGAGTTGTGACAGCTGCTCTCTCTCTCTCTCTCTCTCTCTCTCTCTCACATTCTTCTGTCTCTGATTCAATTCGCAGTCAAATTTCTGAGGGAAATTTTAAATATTGAATGCACTTTATAATATTACAAAAAATGAACCCATCACATTGACCTCCTCTAGAACCTGCTCTTCACGACATTATCCTCTTCATCACCTGTGCTCCTCTTCATCACCTGTGCTCTTCTTCGTCACCTGTGTCCTCTTCATCACCTGTGCTCCTCTTCATCACCTGTGCTCCTCTTCATCACCTGTGCTCCTCTTCATCACCTGTGCTCCTCTTCGTCACCTGTGCTCCTCTTCGTCACCTGTGCTCCTCTTCATCACCTGTCACACCTGTGCTCCTCTTCGTCACCTGTGCTCCTCTTCATCACCTGTGCTCCTCTTCATCACCTGTGCTCCTCTTCATCACCTGTGGTCCTCTTCATCACCTGTGCTCCTCTTCATCACCTGTGCTCCTCTTCATCACCTGTGCTCCTCTTCATCACCTGTGCTCCTCTTCATCACCTGTGCTCCTCTTCATCACCTGTGCTCCTCTTCATCACCTGTGCTCCTCTTCATCACCTGTGCTCCTGCAGCAGAGGGACAGACTCCAGCAGATGAGGAGATGAGCGACTTGTTCTTATTTATCACCAGTTTCTTTGAATCTCTAAAGAATAAATGGTTTTAACTAAAACATCTCGTTGTGATTTATTATAAAAGAAAAAAAAAAGCAGTTTTAGTGTGTTTTTAAATAAATAAATAAATAAATAAATAAAATATATATACAAAAAAAAAAAAAAAAAAAAAAATGTGTTTCTCACCTTCCACGGTGGTTGGTCTCTCACCCTCATTCAGCTCAGGTCGTCTACCAGAGACCTGGGAGCTTGACAGTTCTGCGCAGTATCTTTGCTGTTCCCAGTTCTGCACTTTTCTGGACTGAGATGTTCCGTTGTTTTTCCCGGTATCTGTTGTAGCCTCTTCCAGTTTGGGGGTTACAGCCCGAGTGTCCGATCACCACAGGCTCCACTGATGCCTTTACTTTCCAGGCTCTCTCCAGCTCTTCCTTGAGCCCTGGTATTTCTCTAGCTTCTCGTGTTCCTTTTTTCCTGATATTACCATCGCTTGGTATTGCGATGTCAACCACCACGGCTCTGCTCTGTTTCTTATCCACCACCACTATGTCTGGTTGGTTCGCCATCACCATTCTGTCAGTCTGTATCTGGAAGTCCCACAGGATCTTGGCTCGGTCATTCTCCACAACCTTTGGAGGTGTTTCCCACCTTGATCCTGGGGTCTCCAGCCCGTACTCTGCACAGATGTTTCTGTACACTATGTCCACCACTTGGTTATGTGGCTCCATGTTTGTTTCCCTGCAGCATCTTACACCCTGCAGTTCTGTGCTGGACTGTCTCAGGAGCCTCTTTGCACAGTCGACACCGTGGGTCTTGTCTGGTGTGGTAGATCTGGGCCTCTATTGCTCGAGTGCCCAGGTCCTGCTCCTGAGCAGCCAGGATCAGTGCCTCTGTGTGTCCTTCAGACCAGCCCTCTCAAGCCATTGGTAGGATTTCTTGATATCAGCCACTTCAGTTATGTTCCAGTGGTACGCCCCATGTAGGGGGTTTGTCCTGCCATGATGGTCCCTCCAGCACCTCTTCCTCTGGACCCCACTGTCTGAGACATTCTCTGAGCTCCTCATCTGCTGGGGCCTTGTCCTTGATGTACTCAAGGAGCTTGGATGTTTCATCCTGGACAGTGGTTCCCACACTCACTAGTCCTCGGCCCCCTTCCTTCCGGCCTGCGTACAGTCTCAGGGTGCTGGATTTGGGATGGAACCCTCCATGCAGGTCAGGAGCTTTCGTGTCTTAACATCTGTGGTCTGTATCTCCTCCTTTGGCCAGCTTACAATCCCTGCAGGATCTGATCACTGGCAGGGCGTAGCTGTTGATTGCCTGCACCTTGTTCTTGCCATTGAGCTGCTTCTAAGGACTTGCCTCACTCTTTGCAGGTATTTGGCCGTAGCCGCTTTCCTTGTTGCCTCTTCGAGGAGCCACTTGCTTGTGGGATACCAAGGTACTTGTAACTGTCCTCAACGTCTGCTGTTGTTCCCTCTGGGAGTGACACCCCCTCTGTGTGGACGACCTTCCCTCTCTTTGTCACCATCCTGCTACATTTCTCAAGCCCGAATGACATCCCAATGTCTGTACTGTAGATCCTTGTGGTGTGGATCAGTGAGTCGATGTCTCGCTCACTCTTAGCGTACAGCTTGATGTCGTCCATGTAGAGGAGGTGACTGATGGTGGCCCCGTTTCTGAGTTTCTATATATATATATATATACATATATATATATATATATATATATATATATATATATATATATATATATATATATATATATGTACATAATCAGCTGATTTTATAAATGTTATAGGGTTGGACTTTATCTGTCACACAGAGCATCAGGAAAAGGCCTCTGGTTCTGCTCTGGTTCTGCTCTGGTTCTGTTCTGGTTCTGCTCTGGTTCTGCTCTGGTTCTGTCCTGGTTTTGTCCTGGTTTAGTGCTGGTCCTGTCCTAGTCCTGTCCTAGTTCTGTTTTGGTTTTGACCTGGTTTTATTCTGGTTTTGCCCCGGTGTCCCAGTTCAGTCCTGGTTTTGTCCCGGTTCTGACCCGGTTTTGACCCGTTCTCTCTCCGGTTGTTTCACGGTGTTTTGCACGTGCAGGTGGCGGCCTCTGCTGGACTTTCGGGGAACTGCAGGGCGTCCCTTGAGAATGCCTTTGCGCATGCGCATCCATGTAACAAGATGGCGGAGAGTGCGGAACTGAAGGTAAAGCGAGAGCGACTTTAGCATCAAAATGTGCGTCCTGAGGCCCGCGCCGGGACTTTCACTCCGTTTGGTCTTTGGCTTTGAACATTAAGGAGTCATAAAAATAGACGATGGCTCCATTTCCTCCGACATTTACACAAAATAAAGCAGAGCCAAAGTGTTAGCCGCGGTTAGCCTGTTAGCTTTAGCTTTGTTATTGTTGCGGACGCTCCGGAGACTGTCCCCGGGGCTGTGCGGGGCTATACGGGGCTGTGCGGGGCTCTGCGGGGCTGTGCGGGGATCTGCGGGGCTCCGGAGACTGTCCCCGGGGCTGTGCGGGGCTATACGGGGCTGCGGGGCTCTGCGGGGATCTGCGGGGCTGCGGGGCTCTGCGGGGCTCCGGAGACTGTCCCCGGGGCTGTGCGGGGATCTCCGGGGCTCCACAGGGCTCCGGAGACTGTCTGCGGGGTTCTGAGTGTTTCTGCGGGGCTATGTGGGGATCTGCGGGGCTCTGAGTCCGTCCCCGGGGCTGTGCGGGGCTCCGCGGGGCTCTACAGAGCTTCGGAGACTGTGTGCGGGGATCTGTGGGGTTCTGAGTGTCTGTGCGGGGCTGTGCGGTGCTCCGGAGGCTGTCCCCGGGGCTCTGGGTGGCTCTGTGGGGCTGTAAAGGGTTCTGCGGGGTTGTGTTGGGTTCTGCGGGGTTGTGTTGGGTTCTGCGGGGTTGTGTTGGGTTCTGCGGGTGTTGGTTCTGCGGGTTGTGTTTGGGTTCTGCGGGGTGCGCGGGGTTGTGTTGGGGGTTGTGTTGTGCGGGTTGTGTGTTGGTTCTGCGGGTTGTTGGGGGTTGTGTTGGGTTCTGCGGGGTTGTGTTGGGTTCTGCGGGGTTGTGTTGGGTTCTGCGGTGACAGTTCTGTGTTTTATCTCAGACTGAGGCGCGTCACTCGGGCTCCGGCTGAAAACACGAGTTTCTGTGACAGCGACAGAAAAATGAAAGATGTTTGTGATAAATCTGTGAACTCAACACCGACGTGAGAGTTAAACCTGTGAAAGTTTGACCTGAACTCGAGTCACTGACACCGAGTCGTGTGGTGTGTGTGTTTTGTTGTTTTATTCAGTATTTTTGTTAAACTGCTGATGTCAGTCTGATCTTGTTAAAGTCTTTGTTTGACTTTAAAGTATCGTCTCGTTTAAAGAATCGTCTCGTTTAAAGAATCGTCTCGTTTAAAGAATCGTCTCGTTTGATTCCACAGCTGCTTCTTTTTCATCATGTTGTGATTCTTGATAATATTTGTAAATAAAGTTGAAGGTTGGAGAATGTTGAAGTGTCCTGAAGTCTCGGATTAGAGGATTAAGTGTGTTTAAAGTCGGTGACACTGTCAGATTTTTAGCCTTCTTTGATAAGGATTTTCACTAGTGTGACTGTTTTTGGGATCGGGTTTTGTCTTAATCGTGTGTCGTGCTTTGTTTCGTAAACATGGAGTAATGAAATGAAAACAGATGAATCCTTCACGAGCAGCTCCTGATCGACAGTCGTAGGTCAATAATATCAAACCTGTTTGAGTCCAGTTGCCTCGTGAGTTTTTCTCTGTTGGAGTCGTTCGTGTGACAACATGAAGCTGAGAACTTTTAAACCCTGTTTCACATAAACGTGTATTTTTAAAAAATTTAAACGTTTGTTCTCGTCTTTTAAACACAAACGGTGAATTCTCCTCTGAAACAAATCTTTGTAAAAACTTGGGCTGGAGTCAAGTTTGTGGGTTTGATGTTTGTGTGTGAAGTGAAATAAACAGAGTTTAGGAGCCGACGCCAAAAGTGCGACCAGAGTTTCACTTTTACACTGATGATGATGATGATGATGAAGAGCATCAGTCACATTTCTTCTGCTGAAACACTTTTCATGTGTTTCATTTACACACACAGACCAGAGACACATGAGGCTGTATCAGATCTGTGGAGAGGCGAGCCGCTCACTAATGCTCCATTTTAAATGTGTTTGTGAGTAAAACTTAAAGCTGTAATGAAATAAATAAAATCTGATCCAGAGACTCTGTAGTTCTGACTGATTTATGCAGCTCGATGTAAACGAAAAACTTTTTTGAAAACGATGCTGCACGATGATATTTTGGAAAACGGAGGGAAATATTCTTTTCTCAACACACTGTGTTGTGTGCTCTGTGAAATGTGGCCTTAAACCCTGAGATTTGGTTGTACAGTTTGTTTTGGGGCTGAGTGAAACGTCTGAAAGTATCTGACAGTGTCCACTCAGGGTAACGCACAGAGAAAAACCTGTGATCTCTGAATTGTCCAAAGTAACGATGTTAAACATGTTTAGTTTGTGTTTTGTCTAAACGTGTTTTCTCTGCCCCGTCAGCAAATGGTGATGAGCCTGCGAGTGTCGGAGCTGCAGGTGCTGTTGGGCTACGCCGGACGAAACAAACACGGACGCAAACATGAACTTTTGACCAAAGCGCTTCACCTGCTCAAAGCCGGCTGCAGTCCGGCCGTCCAGATGAAGATCAAGGAGCTGTACAGACGCAGGTTTCCCACAAAGATGGTGTCGCCCGTGGACCTTTCGCTGCCGGGGGTTCACTCCGCCGCCAGCCTGACCGCCGGCCTGGCGCAGCTGGGCTCTGCGTCTCCTCTGCTCCCCGTGTCTTTGCTCGGACCCAAACACGAGCTGAGCCTGCCGCACCTGCCTTCTGCCCTGCACCCCGTCCACCCCGACGTCAAACTCCAGAGGCTCCCGTTCTACGACCTGCTGGACGAGCTCATCAAACCCACCAGCCTCGGTACGTCCTCAGAAACAGTCTTTACACCCCCGGACTCTGGGCCAGTGTCACAGATCTGGGTGGAAATATGGAACTCACAAAGATTCTTGTCCTCAGGTTTCTATAAATGTGATGATTTAACCGCTCTGAAGTAGAAAACATAAACAGTGTCGAGTGCTGAGGCTCTGCAGTTAATTACATTTTAATCATCATTTTGATTTGTGTTTCAGAGGATTTCCAAACTCATATCATCCAGTTGAAACGATTTAAAGCTTAACAAAGTTTATTTTGGGATATTTTATATAGAAATAAGTATATTTATTTTTGTAGATTGTAGAAGAACTGAACATAGAGTTTATTTTGGACACATTTATGTTTTTCTGCTTTATTTCATGTTCAAAGTTAATTTTATTTATTTTATGTTTTATACGTCACAAAACGGCTCTAAGGTTCATAAAATAATAACAAAAATGTTAAGCCAGCAGGGCCAGCTCTAATACATACTTGATATGATCTCGCGGGCCAAATATATGATATTGTGGGCCAAATTTGACCCCCGGGCCTGAGTTTGACATGTCTGGTCTGATTTAGACCAGACTTGTCAAACTCAGACTCGTCTGTGACACTAAAAGTCTTTGTTACCACTTTTTGTGCAAAGTTCATATGAAACACAAACATTTTAATCCTCAAAACAGTGAAAATGTCAAATGTGTCGCATGAACGAGTTTCCTTCCTCTGATCAAACAACAAAACAAAACATTTTTTGTAAAATATACCAAAAATCCTCTTGGTGATTTATCGATACAGCAGCTCACGATATCCAGACTGAATCATCACATTAAACGGTATGATATATAGATACTTTTGCACACGCCTAATTTATTGTACCGTATTTTTCGGACTATGAGGCACATTTAAAATCCTTTAATTTTCTCAGAACTCAACAGTGCTCCTTATAATCCGGTGCCTTATGTATTAATTCTGTTTTTTACTGACCTCAGACTGATTTTCTGTGGCACACGACACTCAAAAATCTGTCAGAATGTTTTAGTACGACTTTGGTAAACTACGAAGCCTCACCACATGATGGACTGTCGAAGCGTTACGGCGCCGCAGTCAGGAGCCTCGGAGGAATGTTTCAGCGTTTATAGTTCATGTAAATGATCCATGTGGTTTTAAGTTTAGTTTCAGTAAAATGTAAACAAATGTGTCCAATCTGCATTAAACACATTATTACTCAGTGTAGATTTGAGTCGTCCTCCTAGGAAATAAAAAAACAAACTTAAATGATCCACACACATTCACGTTCACTGGGACAGAGACGCCGAGCGAGTTACACCACGATCTACCGATGGATCGAGGACGCCGTGGCCAAGGATCAGACTCAACTCTCACTTAATGTGATTTATAATCCGGTGCAATTTATTGCTATTATTTACTATTTATTTCTTTCATTCATTCATAAAGCATAAAAAGACATCGACAGTGTCACAAGATCAGACACACAAGAAATGAATGAAAATGAAAAGTTATCTGCCCCCTTTTCCTTTTTCAAGACAATACATCAACACCGACGGTCACTAAACAATTTATGTATGAAAATAGACGAGAGAATTCCACATTGATATTGTGCCTTACAGTCCTAAAAATACAGTAACTAAAAATAATCGTTATAATAATCTTGATTTCAGTATTGACCAAAATAATTGTGATCATGATTTTGTCCGTATTGGAGCAGCTCAGTGTGTGCAGGGGTCAGACACTCAGGTCACAGCTTTAGTTCTTGGGTTTGTTTTCTCTTTATGTCCCTGTAAGTTTGACGTGTCTTTGTTATGTTCGATTTAAAAGTTGTACTAGAAAAACTCTGCTGTGTCTTTGCCGTCTCAGGTTGAAACGAGCCGTTGGTTTATTCTAATTAACTGAAAAATGAAAAGAGCTGCAGATTCAGTTCATGTGTGAGTTTTACTTGGAGATGTTCATAGAGACACTTGTATGTGTAGTTTGACCTCTGACCTCTGCTGTTGCTCACATTTGTGCCTTTTGCCTGTCGTGACACTGACTCTGTTTTGTTCCTCGGTTGTTCGTCCCCGTCGGCGTCTTCAGTGTCGGACAGCAGTCAGCGCTTCCAGGAGGCCTGTTACGCGTTTGCGCTGACGCCGCAGCAGGTCCAGCAGATCAGCAGCTCCATGTGAGTCCCACTCAGACACCAGAGCCACGTGTGACGCTCTGGGATGGACTGTTCTGTTCTGACCTGTCCTCACCTGTCCTCACCTGTCCTCACCTGTCCTCTCCTCGTGTTTGTTTCCTCAGGGACATATCGGGGACCAAGTGTGACTTCGCGGTCCAGGTGCAGTTACGGTGGGTTCAGCGCACAAACTTTTATTCAAACATCTGGAGAGGTGTGGTCTGTGTAACATTCACTCTTTTGAATTTCAATTAAGAACAAAAACAGTAAAGTGGGAAAACAGTTTATTTCATTTTTTTGTTTTAATGTCAAACAAAAAAAAAGTTTTCAACCTCAATTTCCAATTCAAAGTTTGTTTCAAATTACACTATTCAAACCCCAATCTCGGTGCCTGTTTTAATGTTGATATTTTATTCTCTCTGGTTTATTTGAAGTTCTGTTGCTCAGCGTCGCCTGTGAATTCAGTGTGAACATAGATCTGTAATAAAAACTATTTTTATCATAGTTGTAAGAAGTCGACTGAAGTTTATCGCTGCTTCCTCTTTCATTTAGAGTGAAAGCGTCGCTATAAAAGAAGAAACATGTTTGTCACAAAACTGCAACGATTTTTCAGGTTCGTCCTTCAGCAGAAAAACTTCAAATAAAACAGAGAATCAAAAGTCAACATTAAAATAAACACGAGACTGTTTTTTGATTGGTGTAATTTTAAATAAACTTTAAATTAAATATTGGAAATAGATCGATTTTTTGTTTGACTAATACAGAAAAATGAAATAAACTGTTTTCACATTTGATTGATTTTTGTTCTTAATTGAAATTCAGAAGAACAAATGATCACAGTTCCCACAGTCATGGAAATCCTGGAAAAGTCATGGAATTTTGTAAATTCAATCAAGTTTAGTTCTCATGAGTCTGATTATTTGTGAACGTCTGAGTCTTTTGTTTAAAAGAGACGACAATAAATGCACTGACAGGATTTAAAATGTTCAAAAACTATAATCCCAAAGCATAAGGTGAGTGGAAACAGTTCACATTTCAGATTTAGACCTAAAAGTCTGATCACTTTTAGGGTTTTTTTAGACTTTACAGCTCATGTAGGTGCTGTAAAGTCATGGAAAATTCACTTTAGCTCATGAAAAAGTCATGGAAAAGTTTTGAAAAGAGTTTGAATTTTGAGCAGTGTACACAGGTTCTTAGTGTGAGCACAGACGGACGTCCACATAAGAAAGTGACTCCCACAGTCATTCTGCTGCTGCATAGTTTAATTCTGCTACATTTTATTTTTCCTTTTTGCCTTTTACATTTGACCTTGTGCCTCTTGTGTTCAGGTTTTGTTTATCAGAAACGAGCTGTCCACAGGAGGATCACTTTCCTCCCAACCTCTGTGTCAAAGTGAACGGAAAACCCTGTAACCTCCCGGTGAGTGAAGAGTCACGTCCTCAGTCACGTCCTCAGGCCCGTCTCTGTTTCTCCGGGTCACGCTTTAATCATCCTGGTGTTTTTCAGGGATACCTTCCTCCAACCAAAAACGGTGTTGAACCAAAAAGACCCAGTCGCCCCATAAACATCACGTCTCTGGTGCGTCTGTCCACGACCGTCCCCAACACCATCGTGGTGTCGTGGACGTCGGAGATCGGGAGGGTGAGACGTCACTGCACAGACGCGTGTGTTTGTTTTAATGCGTTTGACTAAACTGTGTGTGTGTTTTTGTGTGTGTGTTTGTGTGTTTGGAGCAGAGTTTCTCGATGGCCGTGTACCTGGTGAGGCAGCAGTCGTCTGCCGTTCTGCTGCAGAGGCTACGAGCCAGAGGGATCAGGAACCCGGACCACTCCAGAGCTCTGAGTGAGGCTCTTAAACTGTTTATTGTGCAATTACACAGGCGCCCGTTCTATTTCAGGGCACTTCCACTTTAATTATTCATGTCCACAACGTTACAGGAGCAAATGTAAATGTAACTGTACACTGCAAATGTCTCTGATCTGGCCAAGATTTAAAAACTTATATCAGGTTATTCATGTTGTTTTCACATTTATAATCTATGTACTTCATTCTGAGATGTTTCATTCTCGTCTAGAGGTCGTTTATTTTAAGATCTTGCTGCATGGACACATCATTTCACTACTTTAAGTCATTTTCTGATAGATTTAAGTGTTTAAATCTTACAGTTTGGCCAAGCGTTTCTGAAGTGAACTTAAATACTGCTCCTACACATTTTCACCTGCTGTTTTTTTCTCTCCCAAAGTAAAAGAGAAACTGACGGCGGATCCGGAGAGCGAGATCGCCACCACCAGTCTGCGCGTGTCACTGCTCTGTCCTGTAAATAAAAGATTTTATACTTTTTTACACAGAGATTATGTGGATAGTCACAGATGTTTGTTTATAGAATCTTGGTTTTTCTTTGTTCCCAAAAACGTTCTGTAGTTTTTAAAGACGAGGTTCTGTGCAAAATCATTTTTAGTTTCCTCTCAGGTTCTCAAGTTGTTCGTCATCACAAACCTGTCTGAAGAGGTTTTAGAGTCATCCATGTTTGAGTCATCTAACAATCTCTTCTATTCAAACCCTCCTTACAGTTAACAGCAGTACGAGTCTGTACGAGGCTCCGCCCACATGCTCCCACAGTACGAGTCTGTACGAGGCTCCGCCCACATGCTCCCACACCACAGTTCTCCATAAAAACATTACACAAAACTGAACACAGTGACTGCACAAACCTGATGTTTGTGCAGGAGTTTCATTAGTGCGACGCACGACGAGTGTGTGGGATAGTGCTCTGAAGGGGGAGGGCCTCAGCACAGGGAGCAAAGGGAGGAGAGATAAAAACAAAAGTGAAACTTATAAAATCTGTGAATCTGTTGTTTTGAGCGAATAAACATTTTTAAAACAAGATAGAACATAGATTTGTGACGTGTTGCAGTTAATACCCCAGAGAGTCACATACCCCCTCTTTAATACCCCAGAGAGTCACATACCCCCTCTTTAATACCCCAGAGAGTCACATACCCCCTCTTTAATACCCCAGAGAGTCACATACCCCCTCTTTAATACCCCAGAGAGTCACATACAGTGAACCCTCGTTTATCGCGGGGGATACGTTCCAAAAATAACCCGCAATAGGTGAAATCCGCGAAGTAGTCAGCTTTATTTTTTACTGTGATTTTACAATGCAATACTGAACTGCAGAATGAAACAAAAAATAAAACCTCTTTTCAGGCCCAACATGTGTTAAAGAAATAGAAATATTAACGTTTTCTTACAAATAACTATAATAGTTTAAAGAACGGTGTTGTAAAACAATATTTTTAAATAGTAATGAATACAAGGTAGGAAACATTGTCACTCGCGTATTTCACAGTCCCTCCAGCTGCGCCTCTTCGTCCTGACTCCGTTGCGCTGTAGCGTCTTTTTCTACTGAAGGCTGCGCAGGGGTCTTTCTCCGAGAGAAGAACATCGTTATGGGTAGTTGTTGGCACTCTTTTCTTTTTCTGAGCAAGAAGATTTTTATAAACGGACATCCCACCTTCAATTATATTTGAGAACTGCAATGAACGACACATCAAAGGGTCCCATTCTTGTGCCGCGCGCTGAATTTGGCAGAATGTACAGAAACGAAAACTGTTGGCATGGGTGTAATGAAAAACCAATATAAACCTTTTTCACTTCTAGACAACAGTAACGCCCCTAAGCCAAACAGGATTCACTGTAAAAAATAAAGCACTGTAAAAAATTCCGCGAAGCAGCGAGGCCGCGATAGGTGAAGCGCGATATAGCGAGGGATCACTGTACCCCCTCTTCAAAACCCCAAAGAAGGTAAAAAGCCCCTCTTTGGCACGAGTTCTGCCGTAGCTCAGGCTGATTCTCGTGTGCGTCTTGTCTTTAGTCGTGTGTGTGTGTGTGTGTGTGTGTGTGTGTGTGTGTGTGTGTGTGTGTGTGTGTGGTGTGTGTGTGTGGGTGAGTGTGTGTGTGTGTGTGTGTTGTGTACTGAATAATCTGTTGTTGTTGTTTTTCAGTTGGGGAAGATGCGTCTGACCATCCCGTGCCGCTCGGTCACCTGCTCCCACCTGCAGTGTTTCGACGCCACGCTCTACATCCAGATGAACGAGAAGAAGCCCACCTGGGTCTGTCCTGTGTGCGACAAGAAAGCCCCGTACGAACACCTGATTATAGACGGGTAAGAGCCACAAAACACACAAACACCTGATTATAGACGGGTAAGAGCCACAAAACACACAAACACCTGATTATAGACGGGTAAGAGCCACAAAACACAACAAACACCTGATTATAGACGGGTAAGAGCCACAAAACACACAAACACCTGATTATAGACGGGTAAGAGCCACAAAACACAAAGAAACACCTGATTATAGACGGGTAAGAGCCACAAAACACACAAACACCTGATTATAGACGGGTAAGAGCCACAAAACACAAACAAACACCTGATTATAGACGGGTAAGAGCCACAAAAACAAACAAACACCTGATTATAGACGGGTAAGAGCCACAAAACACACAAACACCTGATTATAGACGGGTAAGAGAGCCACAAAACACACAAACACCTGATTATAGACGGGTAAGAGTCACAAAACAAACAAACACCTGATTATAGACGGGTAAGAGCCACAAAACACACAAACACCTGATTATAGACGGGTAAGAGCCACAAAACACAAACAAACACCTGATTATAGACGGGTAAGAGTCACAAAACACACAAACACCTGATTATAGACGGGTAAGAGTCACAAAACACACAAACACCTGATTATAGACGGGTAAGAGCCACAAAACAAACAAACACCTGATTATAGACGGGTAAGAGCCACAAAACAAACAACAACACCTGATTATAGACGGGTAAGAGTCACAAAACACACAAACACCTGATTATAGACGGGTAAGAGTCACAAAACACAAACAAAACACCTGATTATAGACGGGTAAGAGCCACAAAACACAAACAACACCTGATTATAGACGGGTAAAGAGCCACAAAAACAAACAAACACCTGATTATAGACGGGTAAGAGCCACAAAACAAACACAAACACCTGATTATAGACGGGTAAGAGCCACAAAACACACAAAACACCTGATTATAGACGGGTAAGAGCCACAAACAAACACCTGATTATAGACGGGTAAGAGCCACAAAACAAACAAACAAACACCTGATTATAGACGGGTAAGAGCCACAAAACACACAAACACCTGATTATAGACGGGTAAGAGCCACAAAACAAACAAACACCTGATTATAGACGGGTAAGAGCCACAAAACACAAACAAACACCTGATTATAGACGGGTAAGAGCCACAAAACACAACAAACACCTGATTATAGACGGGTAAGAGCCACAACAACACAAACACCTGATTATAGACGGGTAAGAGTCACAAAACAAACAAACACCTGATTATAGACGGGTAAGAGCCACAAAACAAACAAACAAACACCTGATTATAGACGGGTAAGAGCCACAAAACAAACAAACACCTGATTATAGACGGGTAAGAGCCACAAAACACACAAACACCTGATTATAGACGGGTAAGAGCCACAAAACAAACAAACAAACACCTGATTATAGACGGGTAAGAGCCACAAAACACACAAAAACACCTGATTATAGACGGGTAAGAGCCACAAAACAACAACAAACACCTGATTATAGACGGGTAAGAGTCACAAAACACAACAAACACCTGATTATAGACGGGTAAGAGCCACAAACAAACAAACACCTGATTATAGACGGGTAAGAGCCACAAAACAAACAAACACCTGATTATAGACGGGTAAGAGCCACAAAACAAACAAACACCTGATTATAGACGGGTAAGAGCCACAAAACACACAAACACCTGATTATAGACGGGTAAGAGCCACAAAACAAACAAACACCTGATTATAGACGGGTAAGAGCCACAAAACACAACAAACACCTGATTATAGACGGGTAAGAGCCACAAAACACACAAACACCTGATTATAGACGGGTAAGAGCCACAAAACACAACAAACACCTGATTATAGACGGGTAAGAGTCACAAAACAACAAAACAACCTGATTATAGACGGGTAAGAGTCAAAACACACAAACACCTGATTATAGACGGGTAAGAGCCACAAAACAAAACACCTGATTTAGACGGGTAAGAGCCACAAAACACACAAACACTGATTATAGACGGGTAAGAGCCACAAAACAAACAAACACCTGATTATAGACGGGTAAGAGCCACAAACACACAAACACCTGATTATAGACGGGTAAGAGCCACAAAACACAAAGAAACACCTGATTATAGACGGGTAAGAGTCACAAAACACACGTACGAACTAGGGATGGGCTTTATTAGTTGACTAATCGATAATTGATCATTAAGAATTTTGTTGATTACGTTCATTTCTAATCGACAAACCGAGTGTAGGTTTCTGGGCGTAGATATGAAGCTGCGTCTGACACAAACACTGGAGTCTCGGCCTCAGTCCCACGTTTGGGCTCTGGCTCCTCCTTGGAGACTCTGTTCCTCTCAGTGAGTTTGTTTACAGCACATCTGTGTCCCGGTTTGGTCGTGGTGCATGTTTACGCAGTATCCCGGTTACTGCAACATAAAGATCTGCACTAAACCTGCACACGTACGATCTTTGAAAACATGGTGACACACAGAACAGACTCACCATGAGCAGAACACCCCTCTGTCACAGAAAAAACACATATAATCCACTGAGTCGTGTCCTTTAGTCCCACAGAAGTTCAACTGCATCAGCGACACAAGAGGAGGGTTTTTCTTTGATTTGTTTATGCAAATTAGCCATGTGGTTTTATATATATTATAATATCATATTATTTTATTTATAAAGCAAGCAATTTGTGAAGAAAAGATGAAAAATATATAAAATTTCACAAATGACATCACATGCAGCCGCGCCTCTGTCAGTGTGCCCCAGGGCAGCTGTGGCTACAGTAGTAGTTTACCATCACCAGGTGTAGAGTGAATGAATAATACTGTATGAATGAATGCTGCATGAATAATGCTGAATAATGCTGTGTACAGCGTCTTTGGGGACAGAAAATGTCTGTGAAAGCACAATATAAATAAAGACTTACTTACATAGGTGACGTCAGACTGGGAAATTTCTGTCCAAAATTTCAACACAATTTACACAAACTTATTTCGTCCACTATTTTAAACATATTCTAATCATCAACAAAGTCAAAGTTTTTTTAACCAGGAAATAAAATTTGATCCATTAAAACCTTTTTTTTTTTTTTTTTTTTTAGCAAATTCATGAATATAATGAGCTTAACTGTTTTAGGGAAATGAATAAAAAACTTCTACCAAAGTCCTACCAAAATCTACCAAACTGTAGACCTGGTTCAGCCCTAGATTAGACCTGCCATAGTCCTGTTACAGACCTGTTACAGACCTGGTTTAGTCCTGGTTTAGTCCTGGTTTAGACCTGGTTTAGACCTGGTTTAGATCTGGTTTAGACCTGGTTTAGACCTGGTTTAGACCTGGTTTAGTCCTGGTTTAGACCTGGTTTAGTCCTGGTTTAGACCTGGTTTAGACCTGGTTTAGTCCTGGTTTAGTCCTGGTTTAGACCTGGTTTAGACCTGGTTTAGACCTGGTTTAGTCCTGGTTTAGTCCTGGTTTAGTCCTGGTTTAGTCCTGGTTTAGTCCTGGTTTTAGTCCTGGTTTAGACCTGGTTTAGACCTGGTTTAGTCCTGGTTTAGACCTGGTTTAGACCTGGTTTAGTCCTGGTTTAGACCTGGTTTAGTCCTGGTTTAGTCCTGGTTTAGACCTGGTTTAGTCCTGGTTTAGACCTGGTTTAGTCCTGGTTTAGTCCTGGTTTAGATCCTGGTTTAGTCCTGGTTTAGACCTGGTTTAGTCCTGGTTTAGACCTGGTTTAGTCCTGGTTTAGATCCTGGTTTAGACCTGGTTTAGTCCTGGTTTAGACCTCCTGGTTTAGTCCTGGTTTAGACCTGGTTTAGACCTGGTTTAGATCTGGTTTAGAGTCCTGGTTTAGTCCTGGTTTAGTCCTGGTTTAGTCCTGGTTTAGTCCTGGTTTAGACCTGGTTTAGTCCTGGTTTAGACCTGGTTTAGTCCTGGTTTAGACCTGGTTTAGTCCTGGTTTAGACCTGGTTTAGACCTGGTTTAGACCTGGTTTAGATCCTGGTTTAGTCCTGGTTTAGACCTGGTTTAGTCCTGGTTTTAGTCCTGGTTTAGACCTGGTTTTAGTCCTGGTTTAGTCCTGGTTTAGACCTGGTTTAGACCTGGTTTAGACCTGGTTTAGTCCTGGTTTAGACCTGGTTTAGACCTGGTTTAGTCCCTGGTTTAGACCTGGTTTAGTCCTGGTTTAGACCTGGTTTAGTCCTGGTTTAGTCCTGGTTTAGACCTGGTTTAGTCCTGGTTTAGACCTGGTTTAGACCTGGTTTAGTCCTGGTTTAGACCTGGTTTAGACCTGGTTTACCTGGTTTTAGTCCTGGTTTAGTCCTGGTTTAGACCTGGTTTAGTCCTGGTTTAGACCTGGTTTAGTCCTGGTTTAGTCCTGGTTTAGTCCTGGTTTAGACCTGGTTTAGACCTGGTTTAGTCCTGGTTTAGTCCTGGTTTAGACCTGGTTTAGACCTGGTTTAGACCTGGTTTAGTCCTGGTTTAGACCTGTTTAGACCTGGTTTAGTCCTGGTTTAGACCTGGTTTTAGACCTGGTTTAGACCTGGTTTAGTCCTGGTTTAGACCTGGTTTAGACCTGGTTTAGACCTGGTTTAGACCTGGTTTAGAGTCCTGGTTTAGTCCTGGTTTAGTCCTGGTTTAGTCCTGGTTTAGACCTGGTTTAGTCCCTGGTTTAGACCTGGTTTAGACCTGGTTTAGTCCTGGTTTAGACCTCCTGGTTTAGTCCTGGTTTAGTCCCTGGTTTAGTCCTGGTTTAGTCCTGGTTTAGTCCTGGTTTAGACCTGGTTTAGTCCTGGTTTAGACCTGGTTTAGTCCTGGTTTAGACCTGGTTTAGACCTGGTTTAGTCCTGGTTTAGTCCTGGTTTAGTCCTGGTTTAGTCCTGGTTTAGTCCTGGTTTAGTCCTGGTTTAGACCTGGTTTAGACCTGGTTTTAGTCCTGGTTTAGTCCTGGTTTAGTCCTGGTTTAGTCCTGGTTTAGTCCTGGTTTAGTCCTGGTTTAGACCTGGTTTAGACCTGGTTTAGTCCTGGTTTAGTCCTGGTTTAGTCCTGGTTTAGTCTGGTTTAGTCCTGGTTTAGACCTGGTTTAGTCCTGGTTTAGACCTGGTTTAGTCCTGGTTTAGTCCTGGTTTAGTCCTGGTTTAGTCCTGGTTTAGTCCTGTTTATAGTCCTGGTTTAGTCCTGGTTTAGACCTGGTTTAGTCCTGGTTTAGACCTGGTTTAGTCCTGGTTTAGTCCTGGTTTAGTCCTGGTTTAGACCTGGTTTAGACCTGGTTTAGACCTGGTTTAGACCTGGTTTAGTCCTGGTTTAGTCCTGGTTTACCTGTTTAGTCCTGGTTTAGACCTGGTTTAGTCCTGGTTTAGTCCTGGTTTAGTCCTGGTTTAGTCCTGGTTTAGTCCCTGGTTTAGTCCTGGTTTAGACCTGGTTTAGTCCTGGTTTAGACCTGGTTTAGACCTGGTTTAGTCCTGGTTTAGTCCTGGTTTAGACCTGGTTTAGACCTGGTTTAGTCCTGGTTTAGACCTGGTTTAGTCCTGGTTTAGTCCTGGTTTAGACCTGGTTTAGTCCTGGTTTTAGACCTGGTTTAGTCCTGGTTTAGTCCTGGTTTAGACCTGGTTTAGTCCTGGTTTAGACCTGGTTTAGTCCTGGTTTAGTCCTGGTTTAGTCCTGGTTTAGTCCTGGTTTAGTCCTGGTTTAGACCTGTTTAGTCCTGGTTTAGACCTGGTTTAGTCCTGGTTTAGTCCTGGTTTAGACCTGGTTTAGTCCTGGTTTAGACCTGGTTTAGTCCTGGTTTAGTCCTGGTTTAGTCCTGTTTTAGTCCTGGTTTTAGTCCTGGTTTAGACCTGGTTTAGTCCTGGTTTAGACCTGGTTTAGTCCTGGTTTAGTCCTGGTTTAGTCCTGGTTTAGACCTGGTTTAGTCCTGGTTTAGACCTGGTTTAGTCCTGGTTTAGACCTGGTTTAGTCCTGGTTTAGACCTGTTTATAGTCCTGGTTTAGACCTGGTTTAGACCTGGTTTAGTCCTGGTTTAGTCCTGGTTTAGTCCTGGTTTAGTCCTGGTTTAGACCTGGTTTAGTCCTGGTTTTAGACCTGTTTAGTCCTGGTTTAGACCTGGTTTAGTCCTGGTTTAGACCTGGTTTAGACCTGGTTTAGTCCTGGTTTAGACCTGTTTAGTCCTGTTTTAGTCCTGGTTTAGTCCTGGTTTAGACCTGGTTTAGTCCTGGTTTAGACCTGGTTTTAGTCCTGGTTTAAGTCCTGGTTTAGACCTGGTTATAGTCCTGGTTTAGTCCTGGTTAGTAGTCCTGGTTTAGTCCTGGTTTAGTCCTGGTTTAGACCTGGTTTAGTCCTCCTGGTTTAGACCTGGTTTAGACCTGGTTTAGTCCTGGTTTAGTCCTGGTTTAGTCCTGGTTTAGACCTGGTTTAGACCTGGTTTAGTCCTGGTTTAGTCCTGGTTTAGACCTGGTTTAGACCTGTCCTGGTTTAGAGTCCTGGTTTAGACCTGGTTTAGTCCTGGTTTAGTCCTGGTTTTTAGACCTGGTTTAGTCCTGGTTTAGACCTGGTTTAGAGTCCTGGTTAGACCTGGTTTAGTCCTGGTTTAGTCCTGGTTTAGTCCTGGTTTAGTTTAGACCTGGTTTAGAGTCCTGGTTTAGTCCTGACCTGGTTTAGTCCTGGTTTAGACCTGGTTTAGTCCTGGTTTAGACCTGGTTTAAGTCCTGGTTTAGTCCTGGTTTTAGACCTGGTTTAGACCTGGTTAGTCCTGTTTAGACCTGTTTATACCTGTCCTGGTTTAGTCCTGGTTTAGACCTGGTTTAGTCCTGGTTTAGTCCTGGTTTTAGACCTGGTTTAGTCCTGGTTTAGACCTGGTTTAGTCCTGGTTTAGACCTGGTTTAGTCCTGGTTTAGTCCTGGTTTAGACCTGGTTTAGTCCTGGTTTAGTCCTGGTTTAGACCTGGTTTAGTCCTGGTTTAGTCCTGGTTTAGACCTGGTTTAGACCTGGTTTATAGTCCTGGTTTAGACCTGGTTTTAGTCCTGGTTTAGACCTGGTTTAGTCCTGGTTTAGACCTGTTTATAGTCCTGGTTTAGTCCTGGTTTAGACCTGGTTTAGACCTGGTTTAGTCCTGGTTTAGTCCTGGTTTAGACCTGGTTTAGTCCTGGTTTAGACCTGGTTTAGTCCTGGTTTAGACCTGGTTTAGTCCTGGTTTTAGACCTGGTTTAGACCTGGTTTAGTCCTGGTTTAGTCCTGGTTTAGACCTGGTTTAGACCTGGTTTAGACCTGGTTTAGTCCTGGTTTAGTCCTGGTTTAGTCCTGGTTTAGTCCTGGTTTAGACCTGTTTTAGTCCTGGTTTAGACCTGTTTAGTCCTGTTATAGTCCTGTTATGTTTTATATTAAGCTCATAAACGTCCCCAGATTACACTTGTGTAATTGTTGTTTTTCAGTCTGTTCATGGAGATCTTGAGCAGCTGCTCCGACTGTGATGAGATCCAGTTTAAGGAGGACGGGAGCTGGTGTCCCATGAGGTCTAAGAAGGAGGTGCAGGAAGTATCAGCCGGGTACAACGGCGTGACCACAGGTAGGAGGAGTGAACGACCTCTGTGAAGGCTCTGTGTGTTTCTGAGGGCACTTTATCCTGACTCCGTGTTCTTCTGCTCAGATTTGTCTCGGACAGAAGCCCACGAGCAGAAGAGGTCACACGACAGCAAAAAGAAAGTGGACGTGATCGATCTGACCCTGGACAGTTCGTCAGAAGAAGAGGACGAGCCTCCTCTGAAGAGACCCTGTCCCTCTCTGTCCCCCGTGTCTCCGCCCGTCAACAAAGGGTACGTCTGCTCCAATAATCCCTTTGAGAAGTAAAGATTCATGTGCTCTGGTCCTGTTCTCAGTTTGAGAGAAGAACTGGGGTTAAATGTGCAGGTTTGTGTTAAACATGTGAATGAAACAAAAACACAGCCCCAGGTCTGAGTGTGACCAGGAAACCACTTTAAAACTGAACAGAAAATAAAATAACACCTTTAAATAAACCACATGGATCAATTAGGGGTGAGTCATTATTGGGTTAATTAGGATTAATTAATTACAAAGAAAACAATTCATTAAAAATATGAACACAGTTTACCAAACACAGAACGTTGGTCATTGCACCGGCTCGTGGTCCGACAGTTCCATCGACACAACAACAGAGAAGCGGGAAAGTCTCTGGTTCTGCTGGACGGGACATTTCTAAAAAAAAAAACAATCTGATGAAAGTTTTGACAAAGGCGTCGTTTCTTACAAACTGTACAGAGACGAGTTTCATACGACAGACGCTCGTCAAACCCACGACAACATTTAAATATAAAAACGACTCAGAAACTCGACGCTCAGGAGGAACAACTCAAACTAAAATGACTCTTGAACTTTAGTCTCTTCAGTTTTGGACTGGGACTTTACCTTTGCAGGGTTCCCACGGTCATGGAAATCCTGGAAAAGTCATTGAAATTGAAAATGTAATTTTCCAGGCCTGGAAAACTCCTGGAATTTTAGTCTCTTTCCCTTCGCTCCAGTGTTTTGTTCAGTTCTCGAGTCTGTTGTGATTATTTCTGAACATGTTTAAAGAGACGACAGTAAACGCACTGACAGGATTTAGAATGTTCCAGAACTATAATCCCAAACTCTGATCAGTTCTACACATGTAGGTGCTGGAAAGTCATGGAAAATTCACTTTAGTCATGGAAAAGTTTTGACATTTTGTTAGTAAAACAGAGTTGGAACCCTGAGCCTGTGTCGACTATTTTGAAATGAAATGTAATTTATTTTTTCAAGAGTTTTTTCCAGACGTGAGGAGCTTGAGTCTGAAAGTGTCTGTGTGTTTTATTTGATGAAGTCGTTCACTAAAATTCATTTACATAAAATAAATTTTGCTTTTGGGGCAACTGTTGTTTTGTAATTAACTGAGATTAATTAATTACAAAGCCTGTCGTTAATTAGATTCATTTTTAATCGTGTCCCGCCCCTAAAATAAATCCTCAGAGGATGAGTGTTTGTGTCTGTGTTTTTGATGGTGTGTTTTTCTCTGTAGAGTTTTGAACCTGCACCAGAGTTCTCCTGTGACCCGGGCCCCCAGCATGCCCCCCGTGGAGAGCAGCTACATCCCCCCACCCCCTCCCCTCATCCAGGACTACCGCCACTACTACCACACCGCCACTGACCTGCCCGGTGAGTGTCCCAGTGTCCCCCAAGGGCCCGTGAGTGTCCCCCAAGGGCCCGTGAGTGTCCCCCAAGGGCCCGTGAGTGTCCCCCAAGGGCCCGTGAGTGTCCCGGGGCCCCGTGAGTGTCCCCTCAGGCGCGGTGAGGCCCTCAGGCTCCAGAGTCACAGAGCGCAGCAGTACAAGTGTCCAGACTCTGCAGGACGCTGCTGTTGAAGAGCCTCGAAACACAAAACCACTTTTTCTCCTGATTGAAATGTGTCTCTGTGTCTGGATTTATTTTGTCATTTTGGTGCAGATTTGTTAAAAATGTGACTTTGGGGTCAGAGTCGTGTCTGTGTCGGCGTCTTCAGGATCAACAGGACACTTGAGTTTTCGTGTTGGACAAACGGCGCCAGTGAGTCAGGTGCAGGTTTTTACGTGACGAGTGCAGACACTGGCATTTACGGGCGGAACGTGACGTGACCCCTTCAGCCCCGCCCCCACCTGGCACCGCCAACACCGGCGTGTCCCGTCGTATCTGGAGAAAAGGGAAACACTGTGATCCGAGTGCAGAGGCTGTGGGTCGGCTGATATTGGGCGGAGTTAGTGTTAGGGAGTTGAATGGATCTTTAAGGACGACTTTTATGGATAACTACTGACTTTTTTATGTGGACAGTTTCATTTGACTTTTAATTTGAACAAGACTCTGCATTAGACGTGTAACATACTACAACGTTTACGGCCGAGGCTCATTTCCTCTGTACGTCCCATAGACCCTTTATATAAATGAATAAACACAGCTCCTCACTGATGTTTCACTGATCACACTTTTATTTAAACTCATGTTTAACTTCATGTTTAAACCCGCCTCAGTCTTGGTCCAGGTTCAGCTCAGGGTTTTAGGAGCTCCAGAGTTCAGAGTCACTTGAAGATGATGCAGACTGAGTAGAAACAGTAACAAAAGTAATAAAAGTAATAATAATAAAACAGAGACAGAAACCAGACACACAGACGACACTTTAACGTTTTCACTGTGGAAAATATAATAATATGTGTTTTGTTTTTTTTTCTTTTCTTCCAGAATTAAATTTCTTCTCGTTCCTTCAAGGCGACAATCAGGTACGTCCAGCCCCGGTCTGTTCAGACTGTTCTGTCATCACACACAGACTTCACTCTGTTCCACCTTGTGATGTCATCATGTGGTGATACAGGAAGTGCTCCACTGTGTTTTTAAACTCCACACACCTTCACTAGAATCATTATTTCAGTCCTGGAATTTCCCATCTTGATTGAACTAAAGGTAAAAAGAGCCACCACTAAGTGACATCACAAAGTGGAACAGAGCGTTTGGAGTTTTGGAGATGTAGACAGCCCAGTTTTTGGTCGTGCGTCAAATCGTCTGCATGGTCGTGAGTCCTGTCCACAGAGCGTCTGTGTCGACCGATATGCACCTCTCAAATTTTCTAACTCCGCGTTGAAGCGTCGCAGACAAACAGGTCTGTGATTGGTCGCCTCTACATCGACTCTACACACATTTCCTGTTCTTCAATTTCACCCTAAATTTTGTAACACGAACTCCAGTTTTAAATCGTTGCCTCCTGGTTTTGTGGAGGTGAATTACTTGGCGACGCACAGACCTCGACACAGATCCATAAATCAAAAATGACGGAAACGAGGCGACATCGGCAGAGAGCGACAAATGAACTCAGAAATATAAAACTGTCTTAATAATAAAGAGTTACTCAAACATCCAGCGCTGACTGTGAGGAGGGAACAACATTAGAACATGGATTTGATTTCTTTAGTATAATATTAAAACCTTTAACAGTTCCTAAAGTCTGTGTGACTCTGTGTCCTGCAGCTTTACAACATGTCTAAGATCCCTCTAGTGTAATAGAATAATAATAATAATAATAATAATAGTTTTGTTTCTCGTGCAGCATTATAACATGGTGATGGCGGCCGCTGCTGCGTCCGCCTCCTCCTCGGAGGAGCACGAGCTGCTGCTCAGTCGGTTCCTGCCTTACAGCTCGGCTCAGGTGATGCGCGAGCAGGGCTCCGGGGGCAGTTCTCTGGGGGTGACGGGCAGCAGTAACAGCGGCAGCAGCTCCAGCCTGGTGTCGTCCTCCGGCAGCCTGAGGGACAAAGAGCGGGACGTGACGGGACTGTCCCGCTCGTCCGTGGAGGCCGCAGCCGCTGTCGCCGCCATTTACGGATCCATGTCGGACGTGATCTCTCTGGACTAGGACAGGGGACTGATGAACTGTGGAGGTGTGTAAATAGAGAGGAGAGAATACAGCGCTATGTACAGAGAGAAATCTATTTTCAATGGGACTTATCGTGTATATAACTTAGACGCTCGGCCGATGACTTCCTTCAGTTATTTTTCTGTGGACACTGAAGACTTTTTCACACCTCCCCATGTGGCCCTATAATTATTCTACCTTTTCTACTCAGTTTTTACCGTTTTGTTTCAATATTTCATGTCAGCGGCATTATGTTAGTATAATGTTATAATCTGCACACGTTGTATAACATTACATGTAGAATGTGAAGAGGCGGATGCAACCAGACCACGCTTAATAATATTATTATCATTTGTGACTGATTCAACTCCTCATGTTACTGTAGACTGTCCATTTGTTAAATTATTGTTCACATATTTATGATTCAAGTTATTGGGTAGATGCTGTTTGATGCATTCCCTCTGCCTTAGACATGTTCTCCTCTGCAGACGATTCTTCACTTTGATTTTCAAGTGTGGCTTAAAGGAGAAGAATGAAATCTTTTCATGACAGCATTTGGCTTCAGGGCCCTTCGTCAGTGTCACGTGTTCAGACTCTGACGCTCCGTGAACAGCGGGGGGGCGCAGCGGCTCCGCGAACAGCGGGAGGCGCAGCGGCTCCGCGCACAGCGGGGGGCGCCGCGGCTCCGCGCACAGCGGGGGGCGCCGCGGCTCCGCGAACAGCGGGGGTGCGCCGCGGCTCCACGCACAGCGGGGGGCGCCGCGAACACGGGGGGCGCCGCGGCTCCGCGAACAGCGGGGGGCGCCGCGGCTCCGCGACAGCGGGGGGCGCCGCGGCTCCGCGCACAGCGGGGGTGCGCCGCGGCTCCGCGAACAGCGGGGGCGCTGTAGTTCTGCAGACACAGATGAAGGTGCTTCTGATCTATTTACATTGACTCCAGTTGTTGACAGTGTTGGGCGTTGCATGTGTGTCCGTGGGCCTCGGGCTCCGGGCTCTGAGGGGCTCTGAGGGGCTCCGGGGCTCCGGGGCCCAGGCTCCGGGGGCTCCGGATTCAAACTCATCTTTTCTCTAAACTTTTCTCAGTATTTTTCCAGCTGCCTGGAAGTGCGCGGACATTTTGAACTCCACCTCCGTCTGAACACCACCTGCATTATTGAGTTGTGCTTATCAGATTTATTTATTTACTATATATTTTGAGCATATGTTTGATTTGTGAAAATGCATTTCTGTCAATGTATGTGATTTTCTTTTGTAATTATATAATTAATATTTAAAGATTCTCTGATCTGTGCCACGCTCCGTTTGTTCACACTCGGGCTCCGGAGTCGGGCTCAGATGTGTGTGTGTTTGTGTGTGTGTGTGTGTGTGTGTGTGTGTGTGTGTGTGTGTGTGTGTGTGTGTGTGTGTGTGTGTGTGTGTGTGTGTGTGTGTGTGTGTGTGTGTGTGTGTGTGTGTGTGTGTGTGTGTGTGTAGTGTGTGTGTATAGTGTGTGTGTGTGTGTGTGTGTGTGTGTGTGTGTGTGTGTGTGTGTGTGTGTGTGTGTGTGTATAGTGTGTGTGTGTGTGTGTGTGTGTGTGTGTGTGTGTGTGTGTGTATAGTGTGTGTGTGTGTGTGTGTGTATGTGTGTGTGTGTGTGTGTGTGTGTGTGTGTGTGTGTGTGTGTGTGTGTGTGTGTGTGTGTGTGTGTGTGTGTGTGTGTGTGTGTGTGTGTGTGTGTGTATAGTGTGTGTGTGTGTGTGTGTGTGTGTGTGTGTGTGTGTGTGTGTGTGTGTGTGTGTGTGTGTGTGTGTGTGTGTGTGTGTATAGTGTATGTGTTTGTGTTTGTGCAGTAGTTCACACACAGATCTGTGTTCTTCACATAAACTCATCCATGTTTCTCATCAAAGTTCTTTTTATCCTGGAGCTGATCCTCAAATTATTCAATATTAACTAAACCAAAAAGTCCTAAATTATTATTTAAGATGAAATGAAGTGTTTCTCCGGCGGGTGGAGAGTCTCTGCCTCAAGTGGACGAGTTCAAGTGTGTCGGGGTCTTGTTCTCGAGTGAGGGGAGGATGGAGCGTGAGATTGACAGGTGGACAGGTGCAGCGTGGGCAGATTGACAGGTGGACAGGTGCAGCGTGGGCAGATTGACAGGTGGACAGGTGCAGCGTGGGCACATTGACAGGTGGACAGGTGCAGCGTGGGCAGTGATGTGGTCACTGTATCGGTCGTTGTGGTGAAGAGGAGCTGAGTCTGGATTTAGTGTCTGTCTCCGTTCCTCCCCTCACCTCTGGTCATGACCCGAAGGACCAGATCCACAATACAAGAGACACAGATGAGTTTCCTCCGCAGGGCGTCCGGGCGTCTCCCTTAGAGACAGAGGTCGGAGGTCGGAGCTCGGAGTAGAGCCGCTGCTCCTCCACGTGATGCCTCTGTTTGTATTTGTTTACCCACAAGTGTTCTCATGTAAACAGTCTTATAAACTATAACTATCTATAAACTCTGGACTGGACTGGGAACGTCTCGGGGTCCTCCCAGAGGAGCTGGAGGAAGTGTCTGGGGTGAAGGGAGTCTGGGAGTCTCTGTTCAGACTGAAGCCCCCGAGACCCGACCCCAGAGAAGAAGAAGAACATGGAGGATTGATGAAGTTTTTAATTTAAAAACTCAGTGCACAGTTTGTTTGAAGTCACAGTGACAAATGTCTGAAAAACACAAACACATCTGCAGTCAGAGACAAACGACGTCTGTTCTGTTCTGGAGGAGAGAAAATTCAAGAGATTTACATTTGTGAGTTCTAGCCTCATCCAGGCGCTAAAAACCTGCACTAAAAACATGGGATAAAAACTGAAAAACAGTGAAAGCTCCTGACGCCAAACTCCTGATGTTTTAAGGAAATGCTCCATGTGAAAATATTATTTATTTTCATATTTATTTTGTATTGTATTTTGTATTTGAAATGGTCTGTCCCAGCAGATTTACACAAAACCACTGATTTGTCCCAGAAATGTCCCAGTGTCTCTATTTTGGACCAATTTGATCCAAACCAGGACTAAACAAAGACCAAACCAGGACTAAACTATATCAGGTCTAAACCAGAGGAAATGACATTTGTTTAGCCAAAGTCCAGCACATTGCGTTTATATTTAGTGTATTTAGTCTCAGATTAAACACTGACTCACACGAGAGTCGAAGACAAAGCCACGCGCGCTTTTGTCACTTTTATTTACAAAGAAAATCTGGTCACTTTTTTTTTTTTTTTTTGGAATTATATTTATATTTTTATATTGTGTTTTTATGTTTATGTGAAGTGTTTGTTCGTTTAGGTTCAAATAAATTATAAAAAAAAAAAAGCCGAGGCTGAAGTACGTGGTCGCGCCGTGGTTGCGTCAGCGCGTGGCGATGACGTATATAGTGCGCGGCGCCGTTCAGAGTGTAATGGGAGCTGCAGATTTGTTCTTTATTTTGATCGTGTGATCTGTGAATGGCGCCGAAACAGGACCCGAAACCCAAGTTTCAAGAAGGTACCGAACCGAACCGAACCGTGCGCAGCGGGCCCCGAACCCCGGAGCCGTTTATCCCCGAGACGAACCCGCCGTGAGCCGCCATGGGAGCCGCGGCCCGAGACTCACCGCGGCTCACGGAGGCTCACGGAGGCTCACACTACGGCTCATCCAGGCTCTTTTCTCTTTGTGCACGAACCACACGCGTCTGTCCGCACGGTCGGAGGTTCTGGAGGTTCTGGAGGCTCTGGAGGCTCTGGAGGTTCTGGAGGCTCTGGAGGTTCTGGAGGTTCTGGAGGCTCTGGAGGTTCTGGAGGCTTCTGGAGGCTCTGGAGGTTCTGGAGGAGCTCGGCCTCTGTTCGTCATGAATGGACCGAGTGCAAAACATTTCTCCTTCATTACGCGCTCTATTCACGATTTTATTTTTACTAAAAAACACCGATTTATCTCCGTTTTATAAAAGAAATGTCCCAGTGTCTCTGTTTGAGACCAAACCAAGACTAAACCAGGACTGAACCAGGCCCTGTTTAGTTTTAGTTTTGTGTTTTGTTTAATAATTGAGAATAATAATTGTTTTGTTCGTCTCTGCTCCAAACAGAAGTGGAGCTTTGATTTAGATTCTTTGGATGATCATGATTATTTTTACTGCTGCGTTTCAGACACACGTGTGCAGAAATATCGATATATCGTATCGTTTAATGTGATGATACAGGATCGATATCGTGGACTGATGTATCGATATATCACCGAGAGGATTTTTTTTGGTTTATTTTACTAAACTATTTAGTTTTACATTCTATAAAACATAATTTCCCTTTTTTATCCTGATCAGTTAAACAGTGAATGAACAGATTTGTGTCTCTGTGGTTCTTCAGTCTGATTCATGAGCTGGTTTCACTTGGTGGAAACCGTGTGACCTGCAGCATTAGGATTCGTTCGCTCGACAGTAGACGGGGACTTTTTTTATTGAACCAATCGCTGCTGTTTGGTCGTGACGTTTGTAAAGCTCCAAATCCTGTAGGAAGAAGAACAATAACGTCTTTCCCCGAGATCAAACTCACCAAACATTCTCTTTGTTCCGACTTTAAATCCTCAGGAATCTGGGGAATCGTTGCCAAGCAGAATGTCTGTCTCTTCTCTGATTGGTCGGTGCCTAAACTCAAACTCCCAGGTTTTTGTAAATCTTCTAGTGTTTTCTGATTCTGACCTAGAGCTGGAGAGAAATGAAACTGAGCGGAGACACTAGGGGGCGCCAGACTGGGTTGTGGTTCTTGACTAGAGTGACCAGAATTTCAAAACTCTAAACTGGGACACACCGGGGTTTGGATGTTTGGTAAATAAAATAGAAAAACAGCGTGGAACATTGTGGATTTTCATGTCAGTCAGAATCTGAGGGACATTTTTTTGGTTTTATGGTCGTTCGCAAACAAGGTTTTCTGTATTTTGGCCAAACTAATGACAATTTCTGCTCCTCTTTACTGTTGGTGGGATCAGAGTAGTCAAGACTCATGATGGTCCAGTTTTAGTCCTGGTTTAGTCCTGGTTTAGTCCTGGTTTAGATCAGATTGGTCCAAAATAGAGACACTGGGACATTTCTTGAATAAACTGGACAAATCAGTGTTTTTGTATAAATGTGTGGGACGGGGACTGTAAATATTCTTGTTCTTTTCTCTGATCATGTGTAAATCTTGTGTCTCAGGTGAAAGAGTGCTGTGTTTTCATGGGCCATTGCTCTACGAAGCTAAGGTCGGTCTCATGTTTGATTTTTCTTGGATTATTTGTTTTTGTTTTTTTTTTTGTTCTTCGTTTTTGTGACGTCTGTTTTGTTTTTCTCCGCAGTGTGTGAAAATCAACGTCAAGGATAAACAGATCAAATATTTTATTCATTACAGCGGGTGGAACAAAAAGTAAGTTCTGTTCATGTTCTGTTCATGCTCTCTTCATGCTCTGTTCATGCTCGTGTCGTTTCTCTGATTTTCGATCTGTTTTTTGTGTTTTTTTCTCACGTTCTGTGTTGTTTCTTGCAGTTGGGACGAATGGGTTCCTGAGAGTCGTGTTCTGAAGTATGTGGACAGTAACTTGCAGAAACAAAAAGAGCTTCAGAGGGCTAATCAGTGAGTGTTTTTACATCTCCACGCGCTGAAACGTCACGGTTTGTTTAGTCTGGAGGAGAATATTTATATCGAGTTTTTGTTCAACATGTAAAAGATGGAACTGTACGTTTTGTTTGGGTTCAGTATTTTTCATGTGTGCACTTTTTTTTTTGCACAACTGGGACATTTTTGGTTATTTTTTTGGCTTTACGAACAGATTTAAGACGTAAAAAGTTGAATGAATCACTTCACTTACAGATGAATCCCGGCTTGAGCGTCCCGTTCTCTCAGCGGCACACGGGGTTCTGCTGAGCCCAGGAGGGGGGGGGGGGGGGGTTCTCTCCGCCGCCGCCGCCGCCGCGTCACTGTGATGTGTCGACTTAGAAAATCCACTTCTACATCAGAATAAAATGAAACGTGAATGTCCCAGACCGAATGTAGGGCCTTGTTTATGTCATTTAACAATCTCCCTGAAGCCATTTGTTCAGTTTGTAATATCTATTCATTTTATTTATTGGTTTATTTATTTGAGACAGGGACAGGAGAGGTGTTTGTAGCAGGTTGTAGCTCCAGTGTTCATTTCCACCTGTCGTCTCTGGGCAGGTTCACTGATTGTGTTTAACGTGGCTCTCAGCTGTTCTTCCTGGAGACCTGTGGAGCATGTTTTGGGTATATCAGTATAATCCTCTTTCGCTCACAGAACTTTACTCTGAAATCTTATTTTAAATCATTTTTTCTTGTTCCTCATGTGTTAGGGCAGGAGTCGCCAAACTTTTTTCTTTGGGGGCCACATTCTGGCTTCTGACTGATGAGGGTCGGGGTCGTAGAACAGAACTGTTTAACCCTGATGACACAGATTATTTTCTTTAAAAACCTCCAGACTTTCTTTACGTATCAGGCAAACTGCACAAACACTGAACACAAAAACAATCAGTCGTCCGTTGTTCTTTGAAAACTCAACACTCTCTGAGACGTGTTTCTGCACTACAGAACTCTGCTCTTGTGTGACTCTCACTGTCTGATCTCGAACTTGTCAGGCGACGAAAATTCAGCGGTAAATTTGTCCCAAATTTGTCCCGCAGGCCTTAGTTTGGTGACCCATGTCCTGGAGCATCTGTAACTGTGGATTTGGGAAGAAATATTCATTATTTCTTTTCTTGTCATGAACATAAATTTTAAACGGCGCAACAAAAGAAACTTACAAAGCTACAGAATTTATTCAAAAATCATTCAGAATCACTTTTGATATGTTATAACTTCTGTGTTTAATACAATTCTAGAGATTATTTTTAAATGTACATGTTTATAGATGAACTCATGTAGTTTCATAAATGTTCAGTTCAGGAGGATTTTCATCTGATTTTCTCACAGACTCAAACTCTGACCTAAAGTGTCTCATTCTGCAGTTTGTTTATTTATTTATTTATTTACTGCAGTTCGTGTTTTTTAAAGATGTTCTGGGTTTAAAACAGTTTTTGTGGTTTAAATCTGCTCGTGTGTCGTACGTTTGGTTTTCTCGTTGATATTTTCTTAAACAAAATATTGAACTTCATGATGTGTTGTCGTGATTTGTGACAGGCCCGTTTCATTTCACTGGTACAAAAAAACTCTTTTAATTCAGTTTTTCTTGTGTTTTTCTTTTTCTCAGAGACCATTATGTAGAAGGAAGAATGAGGGGAGCTGCACCAAATAAGAAAATCCCTGCCCCACCGCAGAAAAATGAAGTGTGAGTTTGAACTTTTCATGTTTTATTTTCACAGACGAGCCCCAGAAAAAGAACCACATCTATTTCACTTTTTAGTATTTTGTGTTGATTTTTCCAGTCTCATGTTACATTAAACACTTTACACTTCAAACTCCATCAGTGCATCAAGAATTAGACCTTTTTTTTAAATAACTGAAATGACGATAATGTCCAGTCTGTTACAAAACATTTAAAGTTTTGTTTTACATATTTTTACTCAGGTTTTTCTTGTTTTTTCCCTTAAATTGTTTCTAAAATGTCTGAATTTTCAAAGAGTTAATAGTGTCTTATTTTTCCACTGCAGGAAAGCCAAAAAGAACAAACAGAAAAGTAAGTTTTATTATTTATATCACAATCTTAATAAAATAAAGGTCTTATATTACATTAAACTGACTCTTAAGAGATTTAAGTCATGTTCAAATGTTCCAATGTTCTAATGTTCCTGATCACATTCAGAGCTGGAGTTGTGTTTGTTTTATTCATGTTTGGTTAAATCTTTATCATGAATCTGAGCTCCAGACGCTCTGTTCCACCTGCGTGAAGTCGCCAGATCAAACTCAAACCTGCACAAAAACCACACCAGTCGTTTGTGTAAAAGTTTGTGTGATTCTGGTTCTTAAAATATTCTCACTTTTATTTTGGGCTGATGACTCAAAACAACAGAAAATAAAACCAGTCGTTTGTGTTTGGTTTGTGTTGTTTTGTGTGTGTCTGTTTCATTTATGTGAGTTTATTTC